TACACATATGAAAAATCCTTCTAGATTATGTTCTATAATTTGTCATTTGGACTGTCTATTTTGTAATTGTATTATGTTTTTCCCACTGTACACACATCTTTAACAGGTGTGTGAGGAATTTGGAGTGGCCAATAACCTCTAGGTGTACAACTGTGAAAATACACAGGTTAAATAAATGTGTTATCTGTAGGCTATGTAGAATGTATAATACCCAACAGTCATGTTTGAGCTGTGTTGCTCCCAAATTTCCATTTAAATATATATATATATATATATATATATATATATATATATTAGGGCTGTCAGTCGATTAAAGTATTTAATCGCGATTAATCGCATGATTGTCTATCGTTAATCGCGATTAATCGCAAATTAATCGCACATTTTTTATCTGTTCTAAATGTACCTTAGAGGGATATTTTTCAAGTTTTTAATACTCTTATCAACATATGAGTGGACAAATATGCTTTATATGTTTGTTTATTATCATTTGAACAATGACAAATATTCTCATGAATATTAAACACAACAACCTCTGAACATTACAAATATTCGCCTCAATTCAACCTGGAACCTCTCTCATACATTAATACAATACAAAGTGTGTGTGAATGTGAAGACACTGTGACGGATCGTTGGAGCTATGTGCAGCTCAAGGCATATATGCTCGAACGGGAGCTGCCTGGACGCTGCAATGATGTTGCGCGCACTATCCGTGCTGAGTGTGCTGACTTTTCGTACAATGTCCGACTGTCTGGCTACCTGCATAAAGTCAAGTGCTCGGCGCAGTTGTCGGCGAAATGTCTGAAACTACGGGGCGGCTGAGGACAAAAAATACATATGCGTTAATCACGTTAAAATAATTAGTGGCGTTAATTTTTTTTTGCGTTAACGCGTTATTAACGCGTTAACTTGACAGCCCTAATATATATATATTAGTGTCAAAGAGCGCATCGAGTTTAAAATACCATCTACAAGCTGATACTGACGGTCCCGCTCCTGCCGCCCGCTTGTGGCAGACTACACTTCCACGCTCACCGGCAGGCCCGGACTGGCCATCGGGAGGACCGGGAGGGTGTGTGTATGTGTGGCGCGAGTGAGGCACACCTTACGTGTTGTTGTTGTTAGCATCTGGTGCTAGCTAGCTGCGCTAACGGATATAAGGAGCTGTTTCAATGAAAACAGAGGAGCGACATTTCGCCGACAACTGCGCCGAGCACTTGACTTTATGCAGGTAGCCAGACAGTGGGACATTGTACGAAAAGTCAGCACACTCAGCACGGATAGTGCGCGCAACATGATTGCAGCGTCCAGGCAGCTCCCGTTCGAGCATATATGCCTTGAGCTGCACATAGCTCCAACGATCCATCACAGTGTCGCCACATTCTCACACACACACACTACACACACACACACACACACACACACACACACACACACACACACACACACACACACACACACTACACACACACACACACCACACACACACACACACACACACACACACACACACACACACACACACACACACACCACACACACACACACACACACACACACACAACAGCGTTGCAGTCGGGAAGAAAAGCAATGTGGAGCGGCACCTAAAGGAGTTTAACCGTGACACTTTTCGAAATCCCGTTTGTGTCCCCCCACTTTACAAATAGGCCTATGTTTATTATTATTTTTTAACGCAAGCCGTCATCACCACGGAGGAGCACACAGCTTCTGTGAGCGAGCGAGACAGAGAGTGAGAGAGAGAGCGAGAGAGCTAGGGAGAGCACACCTTTATCTATTTAATATAGTTGTAAAAAATAAAGTAAGAAATCATTCCGATGTGTACTAAAAATAAAAAACTGTTTAAAAGGGGAGAGATTAGTAAAATATGCATAAATAAAAAGATAGAATGCTAGGTAACATAAGATAAGAATAAACCAGTTTAACCTCTTAAGCCCTGAGCCTGTTTTTCAGGTCTCAGGCTCGAAAATGACATTCCCAGAACAAATGACCATATCTTCCCTTCTAAAAGGGTTAAATTAATCATCTTTTTTCTCAAAGTAATGATAAACCTGTGAGTTGGATTTAGAAAAGTCAGAATCAATATAGATGTTTTTTATTTTAAAGAAAATTCAGATTTTACATAGTAAAAAACTGTAAATTATAGTGTCCGTCCAAAAATTATTTGTTACAGATAGTGAAAACTACCCTTGGATGATGGGTTAGTAGACTAAAAGCTTTAGGAATCCAAAGTACAACATATAATAAGTACCCTGTATCAAGATTGATGCAAAACAAGTGAAATTTGACATTTTTAGAGAGATTTAGCCAAAAAACCCCACTTCTGGGGTCATTTGGTGGATTTGACCTATCTCTAGCCCCCCTCGCTCGATTTTGATGAATGAAATCTCTTTATAACCGCTAGAGCCAATGGAATCGAGGGAAAGTTATATACACACCAACACGTTAACAAATAAGGAGTGAGAGTGACGCGTTACCAAAACCGGAAGCTGCATACACTCTGGTGGCTACCATTAGCAGCTAACTTTTCCGCTCCGATTTTTACATAAAAAATGGAATTATGGATTATAAATAATTTTTTAAAAGGCACAGGTACATTATCAACCTATGGATCAACAGTTGTAGATTTTTTTTTTTTCGTTTTAATGCCATTGAACACGTCTTTTGACCTAATTGACAGCTACGGTGAGACGATCTGCCGTAAAAGCTCCGTAAAGGTACGTGTTGTGATGTCTGTGTTTGCTTCCCCTGTCGCAATTTAGGATCGCTCAGTGATGATACTATACCTAAATAATCAGTGGAGTCTCAGCTTTAATCGGCTATATTGTATGTGCAGCTACGATAAGTAATAAGGGTATTTTTATCTTGAATTGTGTGCCGCAGTGCGTTAGAATCTTTTCGCTCAGGGGTCATTTAGACGCTTCTTATGAGACTTGTGTTTTGTTTTGGTAAAAATGGTTCATATCTTCAGTTAGCTAAGATTCTTCCCGTTAATCTGGTGCTACACATTAATAGTTTCATAAATGTTAAGAAGCCCTGAGACATTATCTCGAAAACAAAACGGTGGGAGGGGTCCAATGGGGGGACCGCCGTGCTTAAGAGGTTAAATGATTTGTTATTGGTTGTGATCATATTCTAAAGATGTTTGGATTATTGAAAAGTCTACAGCTCCCTTTCATCTGAGTGTTGAGAGCTGTTTCCATCAATTCATGTTGTGCTCAAAGTGCTCCAGATTGATGCATTTCACTTCAACATTTAAAAAAACATCTTCCCGGGGGGTGCATGCCCCCGGACCCCCCTAGACTAGAGGATGTGAGGTCCACCCCCTAGAGGAGGTGAGGACCACCCCTAGAGGGGGTGAGGACCCCCCTAGAGGATGTGAGGTCCACCCCCAAATAAAGCAGGTTAAAATAATTAAATTGAATACATGTTCTTTGAGTAAACACTGAAAACGGGTCCCACAGACCCAAACAGCACACAAAGGTTAAAGGTCAGCATATCATAATGTTAAAATGTGCTAAATATATACACTGCAAAAAACAAAAAAAAGGAGTAAAAGTAGCTCACGACTTGTTTTATTTTTTGAAAGTAGCTCTCACCCTAAAAAAGGTTGGAGACCCCTGTTATAGAACGATACATTTGACAATTTTAAGCTTGGCCTACCATTTTATTGGAGCGATGAGGAACAGGTGGGGCTTGAAAAGGCCCACCTGTTCAAAGTGGGGAATAGCAGAAAAAGGTTGAGAACCACTGCAGTAGAGGCACTAAATACTAATATACACCTACAAATAAGCATTATATGTCCTCTTTAAAAACATGTAATGCTGAAGACCTTGAAAATGGGGACATGCTTTTTTTTGTTTGCTTTTTCCACGGAACAGTGGGAGAGGTGGAAAGGTTGTGAGTGTTTTGTAATTACTGCTGCGTGCACTCACCACAATGACAGATGTGTAATGTGTGAATTAAAGTGGGTGTACATGAGTGTTTTAACACATCAAACAAACCAAAACCAGATGGGTTATGGAGCAGTGCAGACAGATATTGCTGAATCAAAGTTTTTACATTATGAACCCTTTATCATACTACGGAGATCTACATTAAATAATGCAAACAACTGGAAGCTCATTTTAACTCTGTCTCTCTGTCCCTCTTTAATGCTCTCTTTCACACTCTCTAACAATGTATTATAAGTTAATTTAGTATAAATAGACCTAATGGGCAGATTCAATTACCGCCTTGCCAAAGTTACAGATGAGATGCACCAGAGATGACACGATTAGCTTTTGGCTGAAATGGCAGCGATCAGAGCTCAGACACATTCCTGCTGCAGGAGAGGCACAAAATGAGCTCCTAATTCAGATCAGACTGAAAGGAAATGAGAGGAAGAAACAACGATATTTTCCCCGTTACATCTGCAATGTAATTAGAATGACATGCTGTCTGATTTTGAAATGATTCAACAAGAATTAAGGCAGTGTAATTATTTTTCACTGAAATTGGTCTCAGTGAGAGCGAAACCATGGCAAAAAAACAACAATGTTTTCGAAAATGTAAATGACAATTTTACACCTTCGTGCACTTGTAGGCAAAAATATAAAGACTAGATGCAGTTAGTGACTAAAAGCCTGCCTTTCTTCAAAATAAATATATCCCATGAACTTAAATCTGAACAAAATACGCTTTTAACTTATATTAGTTTTGGTTGGTGTTATATGTGAGATTATTTTGAGACAAAAGGTTTCTTGGCCACAGTGAGGCTGCATAAACATCTACAATTCTAACGGAAAGAGCCAAAGAAGCTTTTTTTCCATTTCCGTTTGTATGCTAAGCTAAGATGAGCATCTTCTGGCTGTGGTGAACGAGAGGGTAATTGCATTTCTCATCTAACTCCTCCAACACATTTCTAATGAGTGGAATTTGCATTGTGCAACTGTACATAGAAAGCAAGACAAAGAGGCTGAGAAGGTAACGTTTCTTACCTTGGCAAACAGCGCGCCCTTGGCTGCCAGAGCGTCCTCTGCCCTCCCGTTGGGGTAGCACTCGAAGCGAGCGTCCAGGATGGGGTACCGGCTGGCCAGCATCAGCCCACTGTTCAGGAACTTGAACCTGGAGCAGCATCCTTTCCAGCCGTAGCGGCCCACATCGCTCAGCACGTAGGGGAAGTAGCGATGCAACTGCCGCCGCAGTTTAGTGGTTGATCCGTGGTCGAACACTTCCTGTAGAGCCATAAAATCCAAGTTGGCAGGGAAGAAGGCGGAGATCTCGTGGTCGAACGTCTCGTCTCCGTGGCGGCGTTTTCTCCCAGGGCGCTTAGAGACTGACGTGCGAGGGACGTGAGAGAGAGTGTTGTTGGAAGATATCCCAACACCGTCACCGCCATGGTAACGGGTGAGGGACTCCCTTGAGGCAGTCATGCTGCCCGTGTCTCCCCCCGCCGGCTCCCCACCCCTGTGGTTCCCTGTCTCAGCCTCCTCCTCCTGAGGGTCTGGCTCTGGGGCGCTGATGCTGATCTGAACCCCTGAGGTGTGAACAGGGCAATCTGAGTAAGGTTTGGTCGGGGTCCCTTCCCCATGCATGGGACAGTCATGATGGCCACTCTGAGGCCCTGTAGTATGCAGGGGGCAGTCCGGACCCTCCCCCGGGTCGTGGACAGGACAGTCTGAGCTGCCGTTGGTTTCTGCGGAGTGGAGCGGGCAGTCCGCCGCCGTGACCTCTCCCTCTGGGTGCAGGGGGCAGTCAGAGGAACCCTGGTCTCCTGTAGAGGGGTGGACGGGGCAGTCTGGGGCACCTGAGGGGTGGATTGGGCACTCGGTGGGGGGTTCTGTTTCTGTGTCGGCCGGACCGTTGGTGGTGTATGTTTGGTCCGGACGCTGGTCCAGAGAGGAGGTACGGCGGAACCCTGTGGCAAGGCTGCTGAAGGAGACCGCACTGAGGACGGAACAGAAAGAACGATTTGTTTGATTGGAATTTATGATAAAAGTAAATGTTTTTTACTTTTTATTTATCAGTTTATTTCATTAAACAGATCAACTTTGTTCAGAGTATAAACTCATATTATGTATGTAGCATAGATAAATCACAGCTGAGAAAACATGAAAAAGATGATACAACTGAAATACAAAATATAAAAAAAAACTAAAAAAGACAAACTAAAAACTAAGCAGTAACATATTTAGAGTTAAATTCAAACTGATGACCTGACAATACATAGAGTTCATATTTTGTCAAGGGTCGAATAAAACCGAGGGATGATTTCACAGATAGTCACACACTCTTACATACACTGTTCATATACATACATACACACTTACTTGTAAACATATACAAATGTATAAATATGATAACAATTTATACTGCTAGGACATAAGTGAAAGCACCCAAACTCTCGGTACCTGATGGAAGTGTTGGTCGGTGAGTCGATGTAGATTTTGATCTGAGGCCGACTGGCCCCGTTGCGGATCCTCTTCCCGACCTCGCGGGCCCTCCGGTGGGTGTCTGACAGATTGTTGAACCTGGCCAAGGAGTCGGGCAGCAGGCACACGTTGGCGCTGCAGAAACAGAAGCTCCGTCCCTGGGGCCTCCATTCCCCGACACCCGCCCCCGCCGGCCCGGCCTGGCCCTGCTCGGCCTGGTGTTTGTCTGGTCTGCACAAGGTAAGCAGCAACATTATATATCAAGTCAAACTGCGAGGAACACAAATCGCTATTAAACTTATTTGAAAATAATATCTGGATTTTAGAGAAACATGGTTGTTAACTTTTTTGGGCAGGTCACATAAGTAGATACTCTCATGTCCGTATGCTAAACATGAAGGTAAAGCCAGCAGACATTAGCTTAGTTTAGCATAAAAGACTAAAATGGCCCGATCAGCTTCTCTGGGCTCTAAATATCCAATTTTATTAAAGTCACCCTTAGTTTCTGCCTGTAAAGTAACATTAATGGTACAAATCGACATGCATACTAATGTAAAATAGTGTTTTCCCTAACTTACAATACAGTTATGGTCACTGAAGCCTCCATTTTCACACATTTCTTTTTTTCCCTTTTCTGATTCTGTTATGTGGTTGGCCTCCTTATAACTCAAATGTATTTGTATTTTATCATGTTTTTTTAACCAAGATCTGACTTATTCCATAAAAAACACTGCTATTTTGATCTCATATTATGGAAGAATTAGTATATATAACATTCAGCAATCATCACATCAATGTTGGGAAAGCACAGTAGTTACTGGAAACCAACAGAGATAACAAAGGGAATATCACATTTAACTTAGGATACCACTACAAAAGCAAGGAACCCAGAGAGAGTGCTGCTCTCCCACAGCTAACAGAGCTTGAACAGTATTTCAAAGTGTGTGGTTATAGTGGGTAGCCATTTTGGTTTGTGTTTGGATAACCAAACGCTCGCTGGAACTGATTGAGCCTGGCAGCTGGAAGCCAGACCCATAAGCATTTACAGTAGATAATGACTTCATTTTCTGCCTCATCAAATCTCCAAACCTTTGGAACGACTGGCACTGTAGATATAACATGAAGCATGACTCTGCAAGTGAATGGCTTATTTTTCACCTCAAATAGATTCGGAAAATCATTGTGAGGCATGGTACAGGAACAAATCGACAATGAATCGCGCTCGCCTGGAAACAGCGCATTTGAAGATTGCCAATGTCGACGGGGGTGTGTGGCGCAGTGGGTTAGTGCGTTGGTGTTGGGATCAGGGGGTCACAGGTTCAAACCCCACTGCAGTCAGCATGTCGTTGTGTCCCTGGGCAAGACACTTCACCCCAAATTGCTCCTGTGGGGATTGCCCACAGTATTGAGTATGTAAGTCGCTTTGGATAAAAGCGTCTAACAAGTGACATGTAACATGTAATGGGTGGCACAATTCCGTTGTACACACCGACATTAACAGCAGCCACATCTGTGAGCACGGCGCCCGGCTCTGTCGTCCAGTGGAAATGCTTCACAAGTCCGCCGGTACGCAAATGCGTAAAAAAATAGTGAGACAAGTGACGGTACGCATTTCAGATGTTTGCCGCGCATGCGTACCTGCGTACCAGTTATGTGCACCCCTGTCTATGTTAACCTACATGTACAGTATGCACAGGAGTCTTCCAGATAGTTTGACTCTACAGTTACACTAGGTGTGTGTTACGCCCATTAGTTTGAGTTATTACTTGTTTTTTAGGAAACCATATTTTTTTTATGGAGAACATACCTCACCTAAAGGCCTCAATCTTATCACAAACCCTACTCTCCAATGTATCAATTCTTACCACACTGTGTAGTTCCAGTACAAGTGACATTATTTTAAGAAGCTATATGCATACTAATGCTGAAAATTGTTATCACTAACCTGCGGTAGGTGTACAGGTACGGCTGGCGGACGGCCTGCAGGGGAGCCCAGATGAAGAAACCCAGCAGGGCGACGGGCAGGGAGGCGAGGAAGAGGAGCAGGTAAAGGGGCGCAGAGATCAGCACACACAGGGTGAGGAAGGAGCAGGGGTCCTGGGAGCGTTGGCGCTTCTCCAGAGAGGTGGCCACGCAGGAGGCCAGCAGCTGGTCCAGGAGCCAGTAGCAGGGGAACACCAGGCTCCACGACAGGCCATCCAGGAAGTGCAGACAGGCACTGGAGTAAGGGGTGGTGTGGAGAACCATCTCTTCCCTCCTTTCTCCCTCTGTATTTCTCTCTGTCACTTTCTCCTCACGCTATGTCCACACCGACATACACGCTCTTAACAAGCTTACACAAATCTGTTGCGGAGATACAAATAAACTGAAAATAAATTAAACATAAATCAGACTAAAATATAGACCCTCCCCCCTACTTGCAGAGAGGTACACTACATGTTTTGTGTGGTTTTTTTCTCTTCTTCACAGGCAAGCTTGTCTCAGTAATACTGCCCCTCCTTCAGCAATTACACCCTCTGCAGGGGGGGTCAAGGAGGGCAGTCTGGAGGTAGGTGGTTTCCATGATGAGAGCGTTTCCGTTGATGATGGATCTATGATTGCGAGGACTCCAATGTAAACATCACCCTTTCCCCAGGACCTGGAGAAGGTAAGAGAATAAGGAGGGGGAGGAACAAGAGGCAGGAGATCAGTAATTGACTTGACATAAGCATAGGAGCAAAATGAACCGTGTACCCAAAATAATCTTATTCTGTTTAGGTGTGTTTGTTTTTTGATGGGTCATCCAGATGTTCAGTAATGCTATTGCCTATCAAACTTAGTTCATTTAATTAAATTGTTTCCTAATGAAGATACATATCGTACATTTATACTGGATCTACAGAATAAAAAAGCAGTCATATTCAATAGCATACAGTTCCATGAAATACAATGTACACCTTACAACTGAATTTGATAGCTCAATCTGCTAGAATAATTACTCCAATAACTATTCCTGACAGAACCAATGTTGGCCAATATATTATGTGTTTTAACTTTTTCTTTAAGAAACCCTCATTAATCTTTAATGGCAGAACTTGTTTATTTTCTTGATATGTTCTCTGCTATTTGGTCTTCAAGCTCATAAACAACAGATTGCAAATTAGTTCGCTATACATTAATTAATTCAGGACTAGAGGATAAGTATCATGTTATGTAACCTAATTTGAAAAGCAAGAAGATGTAGTCAGGAAAAAACATGTGATAATATGTGAATGTTTTAAATCACTTAGCTAGCCAAAAGCAGCTAGCTAAGATTCCTTATCAAACTTCCCATGACACATTATGTTTAAGATTCTAAAACATGCCCCTGATATTCATGTCAGCTTTTAGTTTTAGTTTTAACATGAATCTAATCCAACCTTTTATCTAAGTTATGAAGCACACACTGAAAACTAGCTAGCAGGGCTAATAAGCTATCTAGTAAACACACAGACTTCATTGTTTCCTTCCTAGTTTCCTGTCTGCTGGAAGGCTTGATGAATAAACGACTGTCATATATGAGCCTATAGCAATGCTACATTAGGTTAGCTGAGTGTCTTGTAATTTACAAGTATATATCACTATATGTATCTACAGTTTATTTACAAGTTGTAAATAAACTGTAGATACATATAGTGATATAAGCTATATTCTCAATATTGAAGTTTTTACAAAGGCTATTTTACTATGCTTAGCTTCTGCCATGTTTTACCAATCATTACAACAAGGTCCATTTTCAACAGGAAGTGAGCAGTGATTTTTTTCTTCTCAAAGTACAGGAATACACAAACAGGATAATAATGAAATGATGCCTAACACTACTGTTTAAAACATCTCAATGTCTTTCTTCCCACAGATGACAGCTTTTCCATTAACTACATTACCAACACAAACCACCATGGCTAGAATCAATTCCACCAGTATAAATAAATAATGAATGGATGAATTCATTCATGACAACAGCCAGGGCTTTAGTGAGACACAAAGAGAGCTGACCTCAGTGTAACCTCAGATACCCCACAGGGACCACCAGAGCAGTGCAACAACCTTATTGAGCTAACACAGTGTCACTTCTACTGCAAAATGACTCCACGGTCCATCAATCACACAGCTGAAGCTCACTATATGTTTTACACACGTTAGGTTAAGATGTGTTACATGGCAGCACATATTAACACATAGAGCAAAGGCAATATCTCCAGTAAAGCATGTAAAACTGTCAAATAATATGATTGTGTCATGTATTTTACAATTTTTTTTAGAAAAGCCTGTAAGTAAAAACTAAATCATAACTATCCTTATATTGTCACAATTGAAAGAGCATCAAAGGTACAAACACCACTATGATACCCATTCTCATTATTTTCTTTGACAAGTTAATCCTCTGAATACTACACCTGTATCTATCAGAACAGCTGTCACTCATGTTTAACTACTTCTTGTGTGGCTTGACCGGGTGATAAATGACCTGCTGACTCACCAGTAGGTCTAACATTAGGCGCTTTCACACCAAGTACTTTGCCGTACTTAGTTCATCAGAACTCTTTAGTTCTGGTGAACTAAAGAGCAGATCGCGTTCACACCGGAATAAGTCCCTGAGGGAGGATTAGGCAAATGAAGCCGCTGACGTCACTTCTTCTTCTTCTGCTTTGGTTTACTGGCAGGCCGCAAACAACTTCACGGCGTATACTGCCACCCGAAGTCCCCGGCCGGAAGTCCCCGGAGTTGGGGACTGGCTTCAGTAGAAGCTGCTGGGAGTCCCAGCAGCTTCTACTGAAGCCCTCCGAGTAAATCGCCAGAACGCCGATATCTCCTCATCACTCCACCGCTCCCATGTTTTGTTTTGTGTTGCCATAAGTTAGTCTCTCTGCGTTTGTGCGCTGGGCTAATGCTAATAATGCTAATGCGAGCAAATAAAATGGCGGCTTCACAAAACCTTTTTGGAGTTTTACAGGGCGTGGTTTGCAATCCGCCCAGCCAATCAGAAATGGGAACCTTTTTCTCCCATGAAAGTACCACCTCTCTAGCAGGGACTGAAAAGGGGGTGGAAAAGTTCTCATGAACTAAGTTCTAGTTCCGGATTTTTTTGGTGTGAACGCAAATATTCGGAACTATATCGGAACTATACTGGGAAAAGTACTCCGGTGTGAAAGCGCCTATTATTTCTGTTCTTCCAAACACAGACAGTGGCAGACTATCAGTGTTAGTATTATTAGATCTCAGCACTGCCTTTGACACTGTTGACCACAACATATTGCTAGACCGTCTTGAAAACTGGGTGGGAGTTTCAGGAACAGCTCTAAACTGGTTTAGCTCCTACTTGAAGGACAGAACAAACTTTGTCTCAATAGGCAATTACAAATCAACCCTGATAAATATGTCATGCGGGGTTCCTCAAGGCTCCATATTAGGACCTTTGCTTTTTAATATTTATATGCTACCTCTGGCTGAAATGATTAAAAAGAGCGATCTAAGCTATCACATCTACGTATGCAGACGACACCCAGATTTATTTTTAAATTACACCGGGAGACTACTCCCTGATTAGAACACTGAGCAAGTGCATTGAGCACATCACTGACTGGATGACTCAGAACTTTCTCCAATTGAACAAGCAAAAAACTGAGATCATTGTTTTTGGAGCAAAGAAGGACCGATTAAAAGTATTCACAGAGCTTCAGTCGGCAGACTATAAAGTAACTCACAAAGCAAGAAATCTGGGTGTAGTGATGGACTCAGACCTGGATTTTAACAGTCACATTACAACAGTTGTTAGGTCTGCATACTACCACCTGAAGAATATATCAAGGATTAAAAAACTAATGTCGCAACAGGATTTAGAAAAGCTTGTCCATGCTTTTATTTTCAGTAGACTCGACTACTGCAATAGTGTATTCACAGGGCTCACAAAAAAATCTATCAGAAAGCTGCAGCTGATTCAGAACGCTGCTGCTCGAGTACTCACTGACACTAGAAAAGTGGATCACTCCGGTTCTGAGATCATTACACTGGCTTCCAGCCTGCCAAAGAATTGATTTTAAAATACTACTGCTAGTTTTTAAATCACTAAATGGCTTAGGACAGAGGTACATAGACGACCTACTCCATCACTATGAAGCATCCAGGAGTCTCAGGTGTTCTGGGTCGGGTCTGCTCTCTGTTCCGAGATTAACCACTAAACATGGAAAAGCAGCTTTTAGTTATTATGCCCCAACAATTTGGAACAAACTGCCTAAACCGTGCACGTCCGCCGAAACACTTCCTATTTTTAAATCCCGACTAAAAACGCACCTATTTGCCGCTGCTTTTAATTGAGCTGCCCATACTCACACTACAGTATGCCTTTTTAGTCATGTATTCTGTACCTGCTGTGTTTATTTATTTATTTCATTATCTTTGCTTTTTATGCCTGTTTTTAAATGCCTTTTTAATAATGTATTTATGCTGTATTTGTTCTTAAATGTCTTTTGCTTTTAATCTGTAAAGCACTTTGAATCGCCACGTGCTGAAAAGTGCTATATAAATAAAATTGCCTTGCCTTGCCTTGCCTTCCAGCTGACTGTTTTACTGCCTGAAAGACTTACTGACCTGACGTCTGACTGTCTGGCAGATTAGCGTTCAACAGACAGAGTTTCCTTTTAGATTCAGCCTCCTGGCAATCTCTGCTCTTTTACTTGAGACACAGGTTATGACCCTTACTTACTCTGTATTTGAAATTGTGAATATGACTGTGATGGTAATTGGTTAAAGCACTGTTTAAACCACTTATCTATGGAACGCTGCTATGCATTTAGCATAAACAAAGGATGAAGCGAGCAGAAAGAAAGTCAGTGACGGAGAGTGGTACCCCAGCATGGGAAATGTAACAGTTTTAAGAACAAAAACCAACAAAATGATTCATATGGGTTTCAACTTCTGTTAGATGGTCGAATAGGAAATATACCACAGTATATTCACAGCACAGTGCTTTACTATCGCTGTGCTGTAGAGAGGATGATACACACATTCATCTCACCACTTGAATGTGGCCACAGAGTGTCTCGGGCCAAAATACACAGCGCTAAAGCTAAAGACAAACCAGTCCAACTAAGTGGGGAAATGAACATTTTTCAGATTATTCCAATACCACAGGAATTCAGCAGAAAAGCCACATCTTGCAATGTTACAGAAAGTTTGTGATGGTACCGTGTGCTTACATTATTTACAATGTACATGATGGAGTTTGCTCAGATAAAATGCAGTTGAAAGACCCAGAAAATGTAAGGAAGCAGAGTTGAGTTAAAGGAGTAGTTTGACATTCCGGAAATGCCTCCTCTCCAAAGTAAGATGAGAAGATTGTTACTTAGAGCGATATCGATCTTTATATGTAACTCTTGGCACGAAAACAAAAAAGTGTATTTGTCGAGCTTTTCCTTGTGGATCTGCTGTATTTCCTGCCTTCCTCGGGCAGACAGCTCACCAGGATCACATTGTGGAAGCTGCCAGCTGAAGGCAGAGAGAGCCTCTCATTCCAATTCAGGCTTCTTTTATTAGGCAGGGAAAAATCTGATGACCCACCACATTTAAAGTAATCTACTTTTCATCTGTTTTCCTCTGATGCTGTTAAGGATTGCCTTTTCG